GCGGAGGAGGCGGTGGAGTTTGTCGTGGGGGCGATTGCTGTTGTGGCTCTGGCCGAGATCCGCCGGAGCTGGTCGAGCCATCGACCTTATCGCTGGTCGATCCGGCGGCAGCCCCTGATTTCTTCTTCAGAGGAATTTTCCTCAGGGGGATGTTAAAACTAGGAGCCTCTACACAAGTACAGCAGGGAAACCAAGATAAATATCAGTTTTTCACTTGGACAGAAACAGGAGCATACAAGTAAACATTCGAGCAACTGTGTTGAGAATTACCTGGATCGTTGTCAATGCGAACAAGATTGAGAATCTCCTCAGTAGGAGGAGAGAAGGTTTTGTGAGTAAGTAGACCACAGAAGTGGAGAAGATTTTCATCACAAAGAAGTTTTTCAGACGCAACGGTCTTGGAATTCCAAGTATGGATCCGTTGGTCGAAGAGGGGGTTTGCTGGAGGGGCCGAGGCTGCCTCTTTCGAAACATCCTTGACCCAAGGGATGGAAGGCCAAGGTAAAGGGACGTCAGGTCGAATGAAGATGAATTTATCGCTCCACTTGGGAAGGTTGGAGGGGATGTCATTGATGAAGTGCGCACCATTGCGGCTTTTCAAATAAAGACCCCGACCCAGTTTAGAGGGGCAGTAACAATAATGGAAGAAGTCTAGGTCGAATCGACCTAGACAAATGTGACAAAGGATGATGAAGGTGGTGATGAAACGGATGGCGTTAGGAGGAAGTTGATGCAAGGGAAGCGAGAACCACTCGCAGATGCGAATTATATCACGGTTCAAAGGAAAACGTAACCCGAGCTTAAACTGGACCTCGAAGAAAGGGTAACAGTCTTGCGGAGGATGATCATACCGGTCGGAGGGGGAAGATCTAATGAACGCCCAACCAAGAGGTTGGCCGTTTTTTTCAGGGTTGAACCAGGGATGAGAAAGGGAAGTAGAAGATGAGCGCTTGGAAAGTTTTTTGGTCGAGGACTATTCAGGTGGAGAATTTGAAGGGGGAGGAGCAGTTGGCTGCGAAGAAATAACCTCGTCCTCCTCTGGCTCGTCTAGCGCACCCAGAGGAGGTCGACGATTGCGGAGGGGAATGTTCTCCATGGTATCCCCGGAATTTGAAGAAGCGACGCGGGCTGTGAAAACACAGGTAGGAACTGTATCGCCGGGGCGAAGGATAGAGAGGGGAACAGCTTCGAGCGCAGAGGGAAGTATTTCAACCGAATCAGAAGAGGTCTCAGAGTCTGAAAAGAAAATCAAAATAAAGACAAAAAAGAGCAATATCAAAAAGAAGCCGACGCAAGGAAGAAAGAGGGGAAAAGAAAAATTAGGGTTTTCAGGGAAGGGCAACCCAAAAACCAGAATAAGAATTCGAAAGGTATGGGAGCGGAAATTTCAAAAATTTTCAGAGGAGAAACAAAATCCACAACATCCAATAAGCAGACGAGAGTATTCAAACTACAAATTTAACACAAGACACGCCAATTCAGAATAACTCAGCAGACAGATCGAGAGTACTCAATATTGAAAATCCAGGAACACACAAAATAGAACTACAAAAAGCACAAATTCAAGTGTGGAGAGACTTACTCATAACCGGGGTCAACAATCGAGAGACGTTCGGAAGAGCGCAAGAGAAATCGCCGAGGAAGCGAGAATTTTTGCAGAGGGCGTCTGGGTACAGAGGAAGGCAAAATTGGCGAGGGTGAAAAAAGTTGAAAATACGCTAAGTATAGAATTTATACCTTGGAAGATTAAAAGGTTGAAAGATGAAAGCCGTTGGATTACAGCTAGATCCTACGGTGGGAGGTGTTAATTCTCGCGGGGTTCAAAACGGACGCATTAGACGAGGAGGTGCAATAATTAAAGCACCTGACATCTATAGCAGGCGCCTGACACATGCACCAGGCATGACGCGTGGCAGAAAAGCAGGCCCAACAGAAAGGACTTGAAACAAACGACTTTACTTATGGCAATTAATGGGAAATTATTTGAAAATGTGAGCGGGAAACCTATTATCTGGTCGATATTGAATGACGAATCATCGGGGAGGTCGATAAATACCAATTCACTCTTAGATCGAGTCGTCCAGACTCAACCAGAGTGGGGGGGACTAGATGATATGGGATATTATATACACAAAGCTAAACCGGTCTGCTGGGCTGGTCGAGAAGGTTAAACCAAGAGGGAGCCAAGCCAAAAGGCAGGAAGATCGAACATTCAGGGAATCGACCAGACTAACTATCGAGCAGTCCACCGCACGACCAGACTAATGATCGAGCAACCCATCGCTCGACTAGATACATGATCGAGTAATCTATTCGACCTCAACAGGTCGATCGCTTCGAGGAACTAACAGTCGGCCTAGTCATAGGCGCGTGTATCACGGGCGCGCGTGAGAGCCTCCAACTAAGTCCCAGGAGAATATTTAACCCATGTGCTGGGGGGACACGTGTCGTCAATGTATTGGGTGATAGCGATAACCACCTCTGACAGCTCCCAACGCCCTGCGCCACCTCTGACATGTGCGCGGCATGCCAGAGTACGGACGGGCATCTTGGACAGCCAGCTCATCCTTATCCGGGCAGTTATTAGGGCAGGTATCTCACCCCTATATAAAGGGGGTGAGTCCTTTTTCCTGGGATTCATTCTATTTTCCATACTTCACTTCAGTATACTCATACACATACTGACTTAAGCATCGGAGGCTCTTCACCAGACACAACCCCCGGTGTGAGAGTTGTTTGCAGGTTTCCGGCGTTCTACCGACGAGGACCAAGATCTATCTTTTCAAACCGGACCAGGACGCTTACACTTGCATTACACCGATCACAAGAGTCTGCAGTATATTTTCACGCAAAAGGAGCTCAACATGCGTCAGCGACGTTGGTTGGAGCTTGTTAAAGATTATGACTGCACGATTCAGTATCATCCGGGGAAAGCAAATGTTGTAGTTGATGCCCTAAGCCGAAATGTAAAGGGCGAATTATCTTGTTCTATTACCCATCAGCGTCATCTTGTTCGAGACTTTGCCCGGATGCAAATTCAGGTCGTCGAGTCACTTCCTGCAGTGATTACAGGAAGTGTTAGCTCGATGCAAATTCAGCCCACGTTGAGGGACAGAATCCGGCGAGAACAGGCTCATGATCAGTTTATTCGTGCTATTGAGGCCAAGGTTTCCGCCGGAGGAGTCGAGGGTTTTTCCCGAGGTGCAGATGGCGCCTTAGAGTTCTGAGGCAGGATTGTAGTGCCGAAGGTCGAGGCCTTGCAGAAGGAGATCTTGACGGAGGCACACACCGCGCCTTATTTAGCTCACCCCGGCAGCACCAAGATGTATCACGACCTGAAAAGGTCATTCTGGTGGAGGGGAATGAAGAAGGATGTTTCTAGTTTCGTAAAGAAGTGTTTGGTCTGTCAGCAAGTTAAGGCCGAGCACAAAAGTCCTTTAGGCCTTCTGCGACCACTCGAGATTCCAAAGTGGAAGTGGGGGGAGATTGCAATGGATTTTGTTACAGGGTTACCAAAGTCGTCTGAACATCACGACGCTATCTGGGTCGTGGTCGACAGATTGACTAAGGTTGCTCACTTCTTACCTGTATCGATGACCATGTCGATGGAGAAGTTAGCCGAGATTTATACCCGTGGGATCGTTCGACCCTACGGAATGCCCGTTCATATTGTGTCAGATCGAGATCCTAGATTCACTAGCAGATTCTGGGAGAGTTTAGACGAAACGATGGGCACGCAGTTAAAGTTCAGTTCGGCTTATCATATAGAGAAAAACGGTCAGACAGAAAGGACTATTCAGACGCTCGAGGATATGCTCAGAGCGTTAGTTCTAGACAGAGGTGCTAAGTGGGAGTCAATTTTATCGTTAGTTGAGTTCGCCTATAACAACAGTTATCAGGCGTCGATCCAGATGGCTCCTTTCGAGGCACTTTATGGACATAAATGCCGCTCGCTCCTGTATTGGGACGATGTTGGCGAACGTCAAGTACTCGGTCCGAAGATGGTCGAGGAGACAACTGAGCAAGTTGAGCTTATCAAACAAAGACTTAGAACAGCACAGAGTCGGCAGAAGTCATCGGTCGACAAGCACAGACATGATATCCAGTTCGAAGTCGGAGAACGAGCCTTCCTGAGAGTTCGTCCATTCCGAGGGATCATTCGATTTGGAAAGAAAGGGAAGTTACATCCCCGATTTATCGGTCCATTCGAAGTTCTCGAACGAGTGGGCGAAGTGGCCTATCGTCTAGCTCTGCATCCCGAATTGTCTAATGTACATAATGTCTTTCATGTGTCCATGTTACGTAAATACATGTGCGATCCAAATCATGTTCTTCAGTATACTGATATTCAGCTTCAGCCAAATTTGTCGTACGAGGAGTATCCGGTAGCAATTTTGGACCGCGAGGTTCGGCGGCTCCGGAGACGAGATATTCCCCTCGTACGCATTATATGGAATTGCCACAGAGAGTCAGATGCTACTTGGGAGCGCGAAGCAGACATTAGAGCTCGTTTCCCGACTTTGAGTTTTGATGTGTATATACTTTTCTTGTATTCTGTATATATGTTTAGTTTGATATTTCCAGTGATGGAAATATTTTAAGGAGGGTAGATTGTAATAGCCCAGTTTCTTGTTAATAAAAATGTATTTTTCTATTTTTATTCCCGTTCATTTTCAGCGTTTAAGTTAATAAGTTCGACATTAAGTCGAATAGTCCATTCGGTTAATTATTAACCGAGTCCAAGTTGATAATTAATTTCCGAACCGTTTATTTTATAAACGGATTTTATTAATCAGGATTAATTATTGAAAGTTAAGAATGTTCGGAATTAAGTTTGAAGTCAAAATCAAAGCTAAGTCATGAATGTACACAAGGTACACATGCATGCACGCACGCTGTGCATGGTCGTGCGTGTAGCGCGCGCGCAATCGTGCATAGCGCATGCTGCCGTGCACGCGCACGCTTAAGCCCACTAAGCGCATGCTTATGCTACCCTAAGCAACATGATCAAGCCTAAGTAATCCAAACCTTAAGTTTCCAAATTGCCGTGAGGATTTTACCAAGGGATAATATTGGGTGCAAGTTGTGGCCATGAGTCACCTACTTGCTTGGACACATGGCACCATACTAAGCTTTCTTAGGATGACTAAGCCTAGACCCCACGCCAAATAGCCTCAAATCGTGCCACACAAGCTGGTGATGAGGCAAGTAAAATGCCACCTACACACACGGTTAAAGCAAGTGGACCAATGATAATTTGGCTCCAAATTCACCTCCATTCATCTCCATTATTTAATGAGGGAAACACGTGAGTTTTCCCCATTCGATCTCATGCAAAACCGAGCCAACTTCAGCACAAAAAATGAGGGAAAATAGTAAGGAAAAATAGAAGAAAAATCGTACAAAAATAGCTAAGGATAGCCGAAGCAAAGGAGAGGCGAGCGTGCACTCAACCGAGCACCGAACACGCACGCAAGTCGCCGTGCACTTCTCGACCAAAC